TTTAGGTCTGAGTAGATGGTACATGAAGAAAGGTACACAATGTCTGTTTCTAAAGAAGGGGTTATGCTACACGAATGGGAGTATTCTTAACAACTGTTTTATTTATCGATGTCACCTTTATTGCAAGGGAGATCAGGGTTTGTCAGGGAGTGTCAGGTACATTGCATACGAGGTGAAAGATAAAGATCCTCCCCATTGCTGTGATAACAACAGCCTGCTGTTGTCATCTGATCATGAGGTTAACAACAACAGAACGTATTGAGCGGCTTCTGGACTAGCGGGTGCCTGGGCATCCTGGAATTTGGTGAATGGGTTATAGGTATACCTGGGACGTGAACCGTGGCAATCCTCAAATTGATAGGATGTGGCTTGGGGGTGCTGCAGAGATCACAGGCCAGTTTCCTCTGCCTCAAACAACTTTGTCCATTTACCACACACTGTCCCAGTACAACTATCATTTTCTCTTTTTTTATTATTTAGTTTACTAATTTTTAAAAATATTTATTTGCTTGAAAGGGAGTGAGCACATGGGGGAGGGGCAGAGGAAGAGGAAGAGAGAGTCTTAAGCAGACTGCACGCCAAGCACAGAGTCCAATGGGGGGCTGGATCCTAGGACCCTGAGATCATGACTTGAGCCAAAACCAAGAGTTGGATGCTTAACTGACTGAGCCACCCAGGGGCCCCCCAGTGATGATTTCCTAGGTGTGCCATGATGTGAGAACATTAGGAAGTAACATAACAGGAAGTTATCTTTCAAAATCTAAAACTGGCAGGCCCAGGGTCAGTTGAAGCATAAGCTATGCTTTGAGTGGCCTCTGCTTGAAACCGTTGAGTTTGGATGACTGGGGAAAGACAGGAACGCTCCACTTTCTCACAGGATCTCCAACTCCCCCCAAAACAACTGAGTTTTGAACTGGCCTCCTAGAACTAGTCCACTGGAGGATGTACTTTAAAATAAAATAAGGAGCATTTTGATAGCTTGGTAAATAGAAAAATTTTCAACTGGTTCTGCTCATTTCTGCCTTGGCTAGGGGCAAGATTTCCCCTCCAAACCCCCATCCTCACACATGTCTGAGGTACCCTGTTCTCTCCTAGGACTGCCGGACACAGACTCCTCAGGTGATGGGGCTAGTGTGGGCCCGTCCCCTAGGGACAGCTCAGCTCACAGTCCCTTCCCTGCTCTCCTGGCTCTGCTGATGGTTCTTCTCCCTCCTGCTCTGAAGCCTCCAAAATCCTCTAATCCATGGGTCTGCTTTGTCTTCTCCAAGCCCCAGACCTTGGCCTCATAGGTTTTCAGAGCAGGAGAACTCACTCACTCTGCAAACAGACGTTCCAATCTTTCTCTCTTGCACATGGGCCCCTGGTGTTTGTGTTGGGTCTTTGTTTCTGTTTTGCTATGGGCTGGAGAGCGAGGCAGATAGAACATTACATAAAAAACTCACAATTTAATACTGTGAGACATTTCTAAATAAATCAAATAAGAAAGCTAAAGAACTTATAAAGGAAATCGTAAAATTTTACTGAACATAAAATAAGATTTGAACACATGAAAAGACTTACTATGTCCTTGTATGGGAAGTCTAAATACCATAAAAAAGCCGATTTCCACAAATTTATATATATATGTGTATATATATATATATATGTATATATGTATATAATGCAATTCCAATTAGGATCTCAACAGGGTTTAAAAAATGTAATTAGCTAAATCTTCATATGGAAGAATAGATGCCCAAGTATAGCCAAAGAAATTATGAGAAAGAAAAAACGGTTGTTTAAAGAGAAATCAGAAGTGTTAAATGTCTCTATAACTTAAGTAGTGAGTTCATAATGGCTATCATTTTTATTATCTGTATCATTATTATTTTATGAAACATAAAAATATTTCATAATTTAAAATAAAAAGTTAAAAGATTGTGTATGAGTTAGAACTATGTTCAGCTGCACATTTCAAAATCTAAAAATAAGAGTGGCCTTAAAAAATCCTATTATTTTGTTTCTCTCACACAGAACATAAGTCCAAAAGTAGAGAGCTAAGGGCTTGTGTAGTGGCCCCCAGGACCATCAGGAACCCAGGATCTTTATCTCTTTCTGCTCTACTATCTTACCACAGGGCGTCTATCCTCAAGATTACCTTATGGCATCAGCCATCATTTCTTTCTCTTCTTCAAATTTAAATTCAATTTAATTAACATACAGTGTATTATTAGTTTCAGAGACAGAATTCAGTGATTTATCAATTGCATACAGCACCCAGAGCTCATTCCTTCAAGTGCCTTCTTTAATGCCCATCACCCAGTTACCTCATCCCCACACCCACCTCCCCTCCATCAACCCTTAGTTTGTTCCCTATGGTTAAGGGTCTCTTACAGTTTGTCTCCCTCTCTGGTTTCATCTTATTTTACTTTTCCTTCCTTTCCCCTCTGTTCATCTGTTTTGTTTCTTAAATTCCACATATGCGTGAAATCATATGGCATTTGTCTTTCTCTGACCAACTTACTTCACTTAGCATAATACCCTCTAGTTCCATCCACATCGTTGCAAACAACAGCAAAATTTCATTCTTTTTGATGGCTGAGTAGTATTCCATTGTATATGAATACCACATCTCCTTTATCCATTCATCTTGTCAGTGGACATCTGGGTCTTTCCATAGCTTGGCTATTGCGGACATCGCTGCTATGAACATTGCAGGAACCATCATTTCTTGAAAGTTCAGGTGTCAGGAAAGAAGAGAAAGGAAACTTCACTGAAACCCCACACAAAACTCTCGCCCATGCTGCCTTGAGAAGCATTTAGTCACATGGCTTCCCCTAAGGGAGAGACACTGAGAAATAACTTTATGCCAGGGGCATGAGCCCCACTCAACATATACCTGTTTTCTTCTCATGATACTTCTGTGTGATTTGTGGGATGTTATTTGGTGATGTGGGAAGAAAATAAAAGGCTTAAGGGGAACTTAGTCAAAGTGTTTAGTGAACAGAGGAGCCAATAAAAAAGCTAAACGGTCTTAAAATGTTCTCTAAAACTTTCCCATTGTCCCAGTAAGGGGAGGAAGGAGGACTTATAATATCACATCATTCATATGCCAAGTTATTTTTATGGAACTAAAAATGGCTTGATTGCCAAATAGTGATTTTACTCTCATGACTTGGAGGAGAATCATTTCCTCTCGAGAGCCTACACCTAAACCCCATGGGATGTTTTGCTTGCTCTGCAAAGAGGTTTAAAATCTGTAAATTATTTGCTGCAGTTGTTTTCAGAAAATCATATTTCAGCTGCCAATCCTTATTTCAGCTTCTTGGGACAAATTGGAATATCTGGCCATTATGGGCCACATTCCCTGGGTCCAGAGCAGTGGGGGCAGCTGTATGTCCAGCTTGACCTCCCCATCCCCACTGCTCACTCATTCAGATGCTGACAGGTGCCTGCAGTCCCATGATTTTGCCAACCTTGCTTTAGGAGTTAACAATGTCTTTGTAAAGAGCTTTGCCCCCGGACCACTGTCCTTGAGCCCAAGGCGGTTTCAATGAAACCTCCTGTGTGTCTACCAAATCCTGCCCTGGTTTTCTGTGCTCAGTTCAGAGGGAAGTGAAACCACTGCATGAAGACAAAGAAGTTTAGTATCTATAGAATGATTGTTTTCCTATTGCCTAGGTATTGGTTCTTTCCAGCCCTGAAGGTAGGGACCTGGTCAGGTCATTTCTTTAGGTCCTTTCCTCCTCCATGGCCCCATGTCCTCTGCTGGCTACTCTGCTCGCATCAGACACCGGGTCCTCCCGTGACAACTGAAAGGTGACCTTGGCCCTGAGGATTCATGGATGTGAACCTGCCGTCTGTGTAGTAGGTGCTCACTGAATGGGAGCTCTCAATGCAGTGCCCAACAGAGTGCTCCTGGAGCACAGAAGAGGCTGGCTCATCAGATGAGCAGAGAGCTACAGCATGGCACTTGTTTCATAGAGAACGTTCATCCTCTTCTGTAAAATCTCATTTTATTTTTTTAAGATTTTATTTATTTATTTAAGAGACTGGGAGCAGGTGGGGCAGAGGGAGAAGCAGACTCCCCACTGAGCAGGGAGCCCAACTTGGAACTTGATCCCAGGACCCTGGGATCACGACCTGAGCCAAAGGCAGATGCTGAATCAATTTAAAAAATGCAATGAGGTATCATACCTCCCAGATGAAAACTCTGAGGGAGGGCTCTTGGGACCGTTCCACCACCCAACTGAGCTACTGTGTGTCAGGAAAGCTGCAGAATTCATTCACATTTACTCTGTCCATCTGAACACTTAAAATCTATTGTCATCAGCATCTACTTTTACAAATACGATTTTCAGGAGGACATTGTGGAGTTCTGAAGTAAATGACAAAATCTTTCCCTTGGAAGTCTTATGTCTGGAGGCTAAATTCATATAGAAATGAATTCCTAAAGGTTTATTCCTACATGTATAAGAGTTTGGGACAACAAAAATGTTTAGCTCCTTGTTCCAACATTCTTATTACTAGAATTAAATGAGATACAGAGGGACTAGGGAACATATTACTAACTCGTTATTCACTTACATCGTCATATCTCAGCCCTCCTACGATATTCACTTTAATGAGTTTGGGTTTTGACACCCAGGGATAGTGTTGTGAAGTTTGGGAGGGGGACACAGAAAATGGTGACTCAAGATACTTACTGCAGAATGTACTTTGGGACCCATCCTGGGAACAAAAGAAGTGACAGAAAGTCAGACTTCAAAGTCACCCCACTGCTGAGTGGTTGCCTGGGGAGAAACAGACAGACCAGCTTTATTTTTGAATAGTTCTCCAAGATAGTTCACAGCCAGGCGGAAGAGACTTAATCTTTATTTTAGGAACTCACCCAAAAGGTGTGCGTCGCCGTAGCTGCACGATCATTTACGGTGACAGTCATCATTACGGAGCATGCTGAATTCAGAGGAGTTCTATTTTGGACGTGCTCATAACCCGTCTGTGCATCTTTTCTCTTTCAGTATAATAAAGTGTACAAGAACCTAAAGGAGTTTTCTCAAAATGGAGAGAATTTCTGCAAGCAGGTCACATCCATTCTTCAGCAAAGGTACAGAGCGCACGTTTGCAAAAAACGGTTCTTCCTCTTTACTTGGAGCTAGCGATATGACTGTTGGAGTGATTACAATCTGTCCTACTTTCCAGAACTCGGTGTTATATTTTGGTACTTGAGAGACTGATTTGAAGAGTGATTCTCCTCTGTTGCACATTTATCACTGCGGTACCATGATAATCAAGAAACAACAGGAAGTAATTCTGCGTGGGAAGACTCAGTCAAGTCTCTTTTGACTCCTCAGACTGAGTTTATCACCCCCTCCTGGGGCACTCCTGGTGCCTGCGTGTCCACCATTATTGTACTTCCCACACTGATGGCAATTATGAGCTGACATTTCTGTCCCCCCACTACAGGGTCAGGCTTGCTCATCTTTGTGTCCTGAGCTTTGAGAGTCTGGGCTTTTGACTTCGTCGGTAAATGTCTGATGAATGAAAAGTGACCATTTTCAGTATCACCTTGTCTTTTTTTTTTTTTTTAAGATTTTATTTATTTGACAGAGATCACAAGTAGGCAGAGAGTCAGGCAGAGAGACAGAGGGGGAAGTGGGCTTCCTGCTGAGCAGAGAGCCCGATGTGGGGCTCGATCCCAGGACCCTGAGATCACGACCCAAGCCAAAGGCAGAGGCTTAACCCACTGAGCCACCCAAGCGCCCAGTATCACCTTGTCTTAAGACTAGATGTGATATGTGTCAATTTGGTGACTGTGCTAAAATGAGCACCCTGAACTCAGTCAAGAAAGTTACAGAAGTTCCTGTTTTGAGTTGGGCCATTAAGGGTCTTCAAGCCATTTCCCCACATCTAGACAGCTCTATAATAAACAACTCTAAAAAGGCCTCCAGAAGAGACTGCATATTCTTTTAAGGTAACCATTTCAAATTTAAAATAATTGCAAGTGTAGAAGACATGGGCCGATGGCCTCCTGCGTTAGTAGGACAACAACAGACGAGAATATTAGCATCTTCGGGAACCATACATGAGGCCAAGGAAAGATACAGGAAAGCTCAAACAGGCATTTATTAAAAGAAAAAGCAACCCCCCCAAAGACCCACAAAACAAAAATAGGTTTGTCAAACAGAGTTGAAAGAGAAAAAATTAAATTAAGATGCTTCTGTGGCCAATTGCCTTGATTCTATGAGAGGAACAGGGAGGACCAATCTGAGAGGGAATCTCTTCCGTAAGAAATTTTTTTTTATTTTAAAATTTTTATTTTAAAATTTATTTTATTAATTTCAAAAGAAATTAATAAAATATGGCCAGTTAGCTATTATACAAATTCAATCCATTAGCTATATGAGAAAGCACTTCCCTCCTGCAGATCTGGAAGCATCTGTAAATATATTAGCCATGCATATGACCTAGATTAGAAACATCTGGGCTTTGATTATTTTGATGCACCTGTGTTCAAAATTCGTGCCCAGTAGAGACCTATGAAGACAGAAGGCAGGTGGTAAAAAATGCCTCGCAAACTGACTCAACAATGAACAGAATAAATCTGAGGCAATCACTGCCCCCAAACTGCCTTATTGCTTTTCCCTTGTCCAGGTCACTCGAACCCCTCCACCCTGCCACAGACATATCCACTTTATATATGATCAGAGCCTGCATTTCTTACCCATGTCTCTCTTGAAGTTGCTTCCTCGGGCTACCATCTTTCCTAGATTTAGTCACGCACAAAGCCTTCCACCCACATTGTTCTACAGCGTCAAACAAGCTCCAATGAAGTAAAAACACTTGGGTAGCTAAGAATATTTCACTCCATGGTTTTACCTTCTTATGGAGCAGAATTCAGAATCTGAAGATCTTTTTTTTTTTTTAAGATTTTATTTATTTATTTGACAGACAGAGATCACAAGTGGGCAGAGGAGGAAGAAGAGGAGGAAGCAGTCTCCCTGCTGAGCAGAGAGCCCGATATGAGGCTCGATCCCAGGACCCTGGGATCATGACCTGAGCTGAAGGCAGAGGCTTTAACCCACTGAGCCATCCAGGCACCCCCCTCCTTTTTTTAAGATTATTTATTTATTTGATAGAGAGAGAGCACAAGCAGGCAGAGCAGCAGAAAGAGGGAGAAGCAGGCTCCTCGCTGAGCAGAGAGCCCCACTCGGGACTCAATCCCAGGACCCTGGGATCGTGGCCTGAGCCAAAGGCAGATGCTTAACCCACTGAGCCACCCAGATGCCACCTAGAATTTGGAGATCTAAAGAATACTACTGGTTAGCAAAATTACATGCACTTTTCTGGGATAAAAACTACATAGTGTAAATACAAAAGGGGAATCTAGTATGTTAACCTGACCAGCAAATTTATGCTAGATATTAGGTCATTTATGCATTAGATGCATTTTGTAAAGCTAATTAATTAACTAATTTTAAATTTTAGGTAGTCAATATACAGTACAGTGTTGGTTTCAGGAGTAGAATTCAGTGATTCCTCACTTACATACAACACCCAGTGCTCATCATAAGTGAGCTCCTTAATACCCCTTACCCATCTAGCCCACCCCCTACCCACCTCCCTCCATCAACCCTCAGTTTGTTCTCTGTTGTTAAGAGTCTCCTGGATTTTTACCGTGTGACTGGGACCTCTGCCCACCCAATCAAGCCCAATACCTGGAAGCCATCCATGACCCCTTGTTCTATCTCATCTCATGACCAAGTCTTCCTGTTTCTCTCTTAACCACCTTTCATACCTATAGCTTTCTTCTCATTTAATGGCCTCTGTCATTAATGGGGGGGAATCTCTTAACCTAGTAGGTGAGGATGAGGTCACAGTTTCTGAGCATGTGCCTTTGTCCTTTAAATCCGATCTGTGATTGTGTTAAAGTGAACCCAATGACATCAGGCATCCTGGGAGCTGCTGTGTGTTTTTGGCTAAGTCAGAGTTGCTGCTACAAACAAAGGGAAACTGAAACCACTAATTGGACAAAAGAAGCTAAGCATGACCATGAATTGCAGAATTTCCAGGCAAAATGATGTTTCAATAACAGCTGCACTTTTTCATCATCACCAATTAGAACAAATTGGTAGGCAGCTGAGCTTGGCAGTGCAGCATTTCTGGACTTAAAGCTTGATTGTGGTGCTGTCTCTTGTAGCCACATGCTAATGTGGACTTGCCGTGCAGAACTACACTGCCATGGCTTTGAAAGCAAGATGCCTGGGACAGTTGAGTATCCAAGGACAGTAGAGGCCTTATTCTGGTAATGTAAGTGTACTAATAAGAAAATATTGTTTATATTATTATTATATTGTATATTATATTATGTATTATTATTTACATTATTTATATTTATCCCCTTTATATATTTATATTTATTCCTTGACTCCAGTCCCATCTCAAAACGGTACCCGTCAGAGATGCATAGAACCAGTGCTCGTCTCTGCTCTAGACCCTACTGCCCTATACTGTCGGAGTCTGTTCACTTGCCTGTCTCCTCCACTGGAGGCCGAACTCCTTGAGAGTCTGTGTATCCCAGGGGACCAGCACAGAGCCTGGCACAGAGCAGGCATTCAATAGACGTTCACTGAGTCAATCAATGTGTTAATGTAAGAATGACTTCAGGCACTCAGAACTTTTAAGAAGTTCAAGATAGGCTATTTCTTTTTTTTTTTTTTTTTTAAAGATTTTATTTATTTATTTGACAGAGAGAAAGATCACAAGTAGGAAGAGAGGCAGGTAGAGAGAGAAGGGGAAGCAGGCTCTCTGGAGCCTGATGCGGGGCTCGATCTCAGGACCCTGGGATCATGACCTGAGCCGAAGGCAGAGGCTTAACCCACTGAGCCACCCAGGCGCCCCAAGATAGGCTATTTCTGAGGCACAATAAATAAGGGTGTCCAAGAAATTCACTTACATGGTATGTAGAATATTCTTTTGAACAAAATCTAGAAAAGAATGACAAAACCCTGCGAGACACCATTTATCCAGCACAATCTTCAGATCAGGCACTGTTTTCAATTCGTCTTATACTTGTTCTCCTTTACTTTTTTAAAATTCTCACAACTCAGTGCACTGTGAACGTACTCTGGTCCATTCCTAATATACAGATGGGGATGAGGGAAAAAAGATACAGTTTGATTTCTACCCAGCTCATCGCAGGCTTGGTGTAAGGGCATCCGCCAACTGGGCAGGCAGTTTGAGGCACCACCAACCATGGGTGTTCCAACACGTTCACAGGCCCTGGTCCAGCTCCCTTCAGAGTCTGAAGGTCCTCTGTGGGAAGGGACATCAGCAGCCCTTAAGCCCAGTAGCTTTTTTTTTTTTAAGATTTTATTTATTTATTTGAGAGAGAGAGAGAGAGTGAGAACAAACGGGGGGAGCTGTAGGAGGAGGGAGAGGGGGAGAGGGAGTAGCAGGCTCCTTGATGAGCAGGTGCCTGATGTGGGGCTTGATCCCAGGATCCTGAGATCATGACCTGAGTCAAAGGCAGATGCTTAACCCACTGAGCCACCCAGGCGTCCCAAACCCAGTAGCTTTTAAACCTGGTAAGACAGAGGTGTGTGGGAGTCCTCAGGGACCCCTTCAGGGAGTGAGCAAAAATTAGATGTGGAGGACTCAGCTCTCTTGTCACAACCACTCCCGTTATATCCAGAATACATTTCTATGAGGTGGTGAGATTCTGTATAAAACTTTGTTTTCCAGCTAAAAAGTTTTGAATAGTGCCCTTTTTGTCCATTTTACCTGCCTTCCCTCATGACAACACTTCCACCTGACTCCACGGACCTCACTTCGTTCCAGAATGACCAGGCAGGGAGAATGTGAAGTCTAGAGCTAGGGCAGCTGTGCGCTCGCTCCCTGGGCTGGGAGTGGATGGGAACTGAGTGGGTGTCCTGAGTCTGGCTCTCCCATTTCAGCTTCTCATACTGTTCTTAGCAGGCAGAATTAAGGCAATCAATACTGATGAAGAGGGAGTTGTAGGCTAGCCAAAGAGCCCAGCCGCTTGAATAACAGAGCTTCCATGTAAAAATGTCCTTTAAATGTCCTCTAAATAACGGACTTTTAAAG